AGGACTACAAATTCGTAAAGCTCTCAGAAACATTGATGAGAAAACAGACAGTTTGACTCTATCTTGATGCGAGGAATAATAGTGGACATAGGAACAGTTATTAGTAGGTTTTCTGTAAATTTTAAATTTGAATTTATTATTACCCTTATTAATTAAAACATCTAGAAAAGGCAATGAGTTATTTTCTTCAAACTCAACAGTAAAGTTTATTGAATGGGCTAAGCTATTTAATTTTCCAAGGAAATGGTGTATATCTATATTTTTGGGCATAAGACACAAAATATCATCAACATATCTGAACCATTTATCAAGCAAGTCCATGGTCGACAGGAATATAATTGAATCTTGTTTCATAAAAAGCAGTTTTGACAATAATATGAATATTTCCTTTGGTTTATATAAATTAGATCCATTTATAATTAATAGAATTTGGGAAGAATTTAATAATACACTGGACAAATAATCTTTAAAATTTCTTATTTCTTGGGTAGAATAGTTTGTGGGGTGAGTTGTGCCAAGGACCTTTCCAAGTTGGCTCACCGCGCGTCACGTGTTTAAACCGTTGTGGGATCTGATAGTGAGGTGCCGACCAGACCCCTTATATAGCTTCCTTGGATGCTTTACTTTCATAGTTCCTTGATAATGTGAGTAGTCACGAAAGCGCTTGGAATTTCTCTATTCTTTCAGAGTGGTGGTTTTGCATATATATATATATATATATATATTTATGCACATTTCTTTCAAGGAGGGTACCTGGATGTAGAAAGGCTCTTAAACCAAGAAATTAAAGCTGAACTACCTTTGGATCAAACCTAATTACCCTTCCCTATTCCCCAGGGGCTGTATGACCCATGATTATTATATTAGACTACCACATACATGAGTGGGCTCAAAAGTATTTACTGTTCTTGCATTTTCATGCTTATCTAATAGTTTATTTCCATTGGAGTTTGTGGACTTAAAATTTAAGGATGCCAGTTCATGTGTATGACTAGATTCTTCCTTCATGGATAGAGGTGACATATAATAGATCTGATACTGTATCCACAAGACCCATGTGGTGTAGGAAATTATATGTAGAAGTGGATTAAAGAACAGTTGAAGATATCCAAATAGAATTTTTTCTACACACTGATTGAGTTTGCATAAATGTGAACATTTTTTTTGTGTGTATGTGTATGCATGCCCATCTATTTTGCTTGTTTGCTTTCATCTATTTGTGATTGAAGGGGTTGATTCTCAGATCCTGGCCCTACCTCTTAACTTGCCACTCCAAATTCACTCTCTTTTAACCTAGTGGGGTCCTATCATACTTGGTCTTAAATGCTCCCATCCTGTCTATATCTCTCTATCCTTATCTGTCTCTATCTCTGTCTCTCTCTATCTCCATCTATTTCTCTCTGTCTCTCTCTCTTTTTTTACACAGGGTTTGACAAGGTTAGGTTAAGGATCCCTAGCTTTATTGACAAGCTATTTACAGGTTAAGGATTCCTAACTCTATTGACAAGCTAAGAGCTGTTACCTACATCAGCTCATTTGAAAGCATTTTTATTGTTATGAGACATACAAGTAGGGAACAGGATGAAGTTGGAGCCATCTGTGGGCCAGCATTTTTATTTGATCAGCTGACTTTATCTCGTTAACATAACGCTGTATGAATGTGTTCCAGACTCGAGTCATCCTGGGGATAAGTGATTTCAGATGAAGTGATGTTCTGGAGAAGGGTACAGCCAGAGTGAAGTTGCCGCTTTCTGCCTGTCTTGTTGTATAAATTTGTCATGGCTGCACATTGGACAAGATCATACCTCCACTGCACAACTTTTTCATTTAGTAACTGTATCACACTATTATAAATCACCAAGATGTTCAGTAGTTATAGAAATACAGCTACAATAGTTACATGAATGGTAAAGGTGTTGAAATATGTAATTATAGTGTACTTACATATTTCCCAAGACTCGTGGTGGGAGGCTTGGGACTGGTGATACCCCTCAAGGGAGGTACCTACATGCAGGTGAGGGTTCTTGATCCAAAGAGGTGAACCAATCTTCCCATCCCTTGACTCAAATCTTATTACCTCTCAATTCTCCAGGAGCCCTATGGGTCTAGTTCTTCCCATGAGTATAATAATACTGCAGTTGGAGCTGGTGGAGGCACTGCTCACAGCCTGTGAAAATCTACAGATGATAGTATCTGAATATCCCATGCTGCTTCATTATTTTAGATTTTTTTTTTTTCAACAAACCGGCCGTATCCCACCAAGGCAGGGTTTACCTGGAGAGAGTTCCGGGGGTCAACGCCCCCGCGGCCTGGTCTGTGACCAGGCCTCCTTAGGTCAGTGTCCCAGGATGCGACCCACACCAGTCGACTAACACCCAAGTACCCATTTTACTGATGGGGAACATAGACAACAGGTGGAAAGAAACACGTCCAATGTTTCTACTCTGGCTGGGAATCGAACCCAGGCCCTCACCGTGTGAAGCGAGAGCGTTAACCACCAGGCCACAAAAGCCCAAAAAGAAAAACGAAAGTTTCTCTTTTTAAATTTAGTAATTTATACAGGAGAAGGGGTTACTAGCCTCTTGCTCCTGGCATTTTAGTCGCCTCTTACAACACGCATAGCTTATGGAGGAAGAATTCTGTTCCACTTCCCCATGGAGATAACAGGAGATAAACAAGAACAAGAACTAGTAAGAAAATAGAAGAAAACCCTAAGGGGTGTGTATATATATATATGCTTGTACATGTATGTGTAGTGTGACCTAAGTGTAAGTAGAAGTAGCAAGACGTACCTGAAACCTTTCATGTTTATGAGACAGAAAAATGGACACCAGCAATACTACCATCATGTAAAACAATCACAGGCTTTCATTTTACACTCACTTGGCAGGACGGTAGTACCTCCCTGGGTGGTTGCTGTCTACCAACCTACTACCTACTATTTTAGATTTATGGAGCATAATATAAAGAGTTATCACATTATTTAAAAAAGGTGCTATTTTTCAGTAATGCTTAGCCAAAATCATGCTGTGGAGGGTCACATTATGAGAGTTTACTGTATATATACAGCATTATTATTACCTGTGCTGAGTTCTGAGGCCATCTTTTTCAACACAGAGAAGGCTTATGACACCATCTAGAGGTATCTTTTCCCAAGCTTATTGTTTTTGTGCTCAGGATGATGATAGCCTTTTCCCAATTCTTTTTAAGAGAAAGAACCATAAGGATGTGTACTGAGTACCTCCTTTTCCCTAATTGCTGTAAACAGACTCCTCTCAACTCATCCTCATGGAATTTGGTTTTCCCTCCATGTGAACAATTTCACCATTTGTAGATGAATGGTTCAGAGAACCGACATGTTGATAAATTAGACACATGTGCAACTCTTGGGTATCTTTATTGAGGAAATGTTTCGCCACACAGTGGCTTCATCAGTCCATACAAAGGAGAATCTTGAAGAACAGGAGGAGAATGAGGTAATCAGTCCCTCAACCTTGAGTCGATGTGGTCAGTCCATCAATCTTGAATAGATTGATGGACTGACCACATCGACTCAAGGTTGAGGGACTGATTACCTCATTCTCCTCCTGTTCTTCAAGATTCTCCTTTGTATGGACTGATGAAGCCACTGTGTGGCGAAACATTTCCTCAATAAAGATACCCAAGAGTTGCACATGTGTCTAATTTATCAATTTCACCATTACTTGTTCTCTCATAGACATTTAGCTGGTAGCCATCTCCTTGAAGTGTGCTATTGACTTTTCTTTCAGTTGGACTACATCATATGGCTTCATTCTCTCCAAAACAAGTTCTAAAACTCCCATATGGTGACCTATCATTCCTTGTTCCTCACTACCTTATGGTTCTATTGTGGTTTGCCAAAAAAAAATTCTCAGGCTTCTGCATGATTTTATAAGTTGCACAGCACTTTCATTTTACTGATTCTGTTGAGAAGTAAGAAGTTTATCTCCACAGATGTGGATTGATAGGTTAGGGGGCAGAGTTTGGGATGAAAAACAGACATCAATGCACTATTACTATATTCAAATAGGGAATTGTCCCATTGATAATAATTATCATGCTAAGCTCTCATAGTTGTTAAGTATGAAAGAGTGCAAGTTTAGATACAGAATAGGCCATGTATTGTTGTATATCCACTAGCACACAAGTTGGTTAGGTTACTTTAGATTTAACTCCGTCTTGTAACCCTTGAGTGGTTAGGCTGCCTTCTTTTACTGAGCGTGCACTGGCCAAACTACATGAGATATAGCATCAAATTGGAGCATTAAATAACTTTGTCACTGGAATCCTTGGCTATTCACACTGTGGTTGGAATTCATCCCAGTAAGACTGGAATGAATAAAGATTATTAAGCAAGATATTTAACAAGAGAGGAGAGACAGGCTGCCTTCTTGCTTTCTCCTAGACAAGATGCTGCCTTGTCTTAATATGGTGTTTCTTTTAACATTTTTGTGAGCAACACTTTCTGTACCTCCAGAGTACTGTTTGCTTTAGTGAAGAACTCAGATTTAATTTAATAATTATGCATGTATGCTACAGTGCTCATGCTACTTTGACTTGAAAAGTAGTCGAATATACAGAACTGTTAGCTGTTACTTATATATTCTGTTAAAATAGCAGGCATACATGTATATAGGCTTTATTTAATTTTTACTAATTTTGTACCTCTTGGAATAACTGAATTACAAATATTTTTTTATAACATTTTGCTTTTTAAGTATGTATCAGACATTATTTTGGTATTAATTTATAGCAAAATAATGGAAATATAATACTGTTTATGGCATAGTGGGTTTATTTAAAAAACTGACTAGTTATAATTTCAAGATTTAATGATGTAAGTTGACATATATTATTAATCAATAACTGAATAACTGCAGTCAAACTCTGACAATAATAATTAATGTTTACATTTATTTTTTAAATACTGTATTACAAAAAAATAATTAAAAATACTTAAATTCATTATTAAATTTCAGGTGAAGGGGAGGAGGATGGAACCCCTGAGCCATCTGCAGAGTCGCTTAGCCGTGGTGATCGCTCACACCTCATCGTCTGGTCTGTGGCACGTCCTCCACTTTGAGAACATTAGTCATGCCTTCAAGGGATGTAATCATCACAATAAGGGATTCCTCATTTCTCAGAGCAGTTATTCTTTGTCACTGCTTAGTATTAGTATGGGCTAATATCCAGTGAGAAATTTGTTAGAATTATAGCCTCAGAGCAGTGAAAAAGAATTTGTGCTTTTGGGATCTGCCGTATCATCAGATAAGCCATCACATCACATCACATTTTCTCAGGTTTTGCAGATGCTGAACATCCAGTTATAAGAGTGCACAATCCAAAATTTAAAAAAAATCAGTATGGTATGTTCCTCATATTAGCAGTATTCAGTAATAGTCATGTTAATATACATCCTCATGAACTTAAAAAAATGCTGAGAATAGCAGAGTTGTGATTTACATTGTAATAGACAAACAATTGAGAAATTGTGCACATTCATCAATCTTGCAACCTACATTTCTTCATTAAGTGATAACAGCACAAGAACAGACTCAGCATGGAGCTGTAAGTGTCATGTTTTCAAGGCAAAACTGTAAGCTATTATTTCAGTATTAGCCATTACTTTTAATAAATTTTGCAGAAAAAATCAGAAGGTATAACCAAGCATCCTCCTTTAATCTTTGCCACATTATATTTTTTTTAAGCTTTGAAAATACAGTAAATGAAAATAACTGCTTATATACAGTAGGTCTAGTCTTTCATTCTACTTAAATATGACAAAGCACAGAGGTATGGTTTATTCATAAGGCTGAGACATTATTTCTCAAATAATACATAAGTTTTGTTCTTATGAAGAGAAACAATAGGTCTCAAAGTGTTTATACAGTGGACCCCCGGTTTACGATATTTTTTCATTCCAGAAGTATGTTCAGGTGCCAGTACTGACCGAATTTGTTCCCATAAGGAATATTGTGAATTAGATTAGTCCATTTCAGACCCCCAAACATACACGTACAAACGCACTTACATAAATACACTTACATAATTGGTCGCATTGAGAGGTGATCGTAAAGCGGGGGTCCACTGTACTAGGAAAGTGAAAGATAGGCACTAAGCCTACACATAGTAAATCAAGGACATGTAGACAAAACAAGTTTTTATTAAAAATTATCTATCACTTAGCAAGAGCTTTATTAAGTTTTTAATAAAGGTGCTTCTGTCAACATGTCTTTGATTTACCATGCTAGGAACTTAAAATTTAAATGTGCCGTTCACAGTCATTAATAAGAGGGAAAAAACAGCTGAAATCCATTAATTTACATAACTTGCTTCATATTAAACTTGTGGAGAATTATTTATGAGTGTTTAACACAACAGTTTTTAACGATTTTCCTTGTAAAATGTTATATATTATTGTGTATCATTATTTGAGTTACAGGCAAACAAAAACTTCAAAGGTCAGTTTGTGATATTTAAATTAAATGTATATTTTGTCTTGTCTAAAAAAAAAGCCGCTTTTTCTCTATAGTACTTACAAATATTAGCAAAGAAAATACTCTTGTATCTCACCTTAGCTAGCCAACAGCAGATATTGTTAGAATTATGGTAGCAAATGAAAATCCACATTTTACATTTTTAAAATTGTGATAAACAAAAAGGTAAATTATTGACACTAAAGTCATTTTAAATGTTTAAAAGTGATATCTTAAATAGACAAGAATTAAATACAATATTAAATTGCCATAATAAATATGTAGTTTATTAATAATGCTCTAAAAGCTGGTATGCATTTCCCATCTATATCTCATGGAAAAAGTCGAACTTCTGTTTTTTTCCTCGCCGCCCATTCAATATTAATATAATACCTAAATTATGGCTAAGAGAATCCATGTTGCATACTGTAATTATATGTTAGCAGTATTGCTCAAGGGACATAATAAGGATTGGAGAATATTAACCCTTTCAGTGTCAAGACCCCTGATCCTAAACTCTCACTGTCGAAAACTTAAAAAAAAAAATTCTTGTGAAACGATAGAGAATCTTTTCCCTATGGTAATGACACCAAAAGTACGAAATTTGATGGAAGACTTATGAAATTATGCTCTCTCAAAGTTAGCACTCTCGGCAATATTTACGCATCGGCAATTTCGCCCACCTTGAGCCCTATTTTTAGCCAATTCCATTGTTCCAGTTGACTGAAATCATAGTTATTTTGCTTGAACTCCATTTGTTCTATTGATTGAGTACAAGAAACTGCCCATTTACTAATTTCAACTACCCTGTAAAGTGGTCAAAAATTGGCAATTTGGCCAATGTCACACAAATTTCAGAAGATGCCAATTTCAAAACAGGGTCCAGAATAAACCAGGCAGACATTCTTGGCACTAAAATAACATTTTCTTTGTTCATTAGTCATGTCTCTAGGCCCCTCTTATATTACTCTTGCTTTCCATCTTGAATTTTTATTCTCACAAAAAATAGATTTACAGTTATGCAGGCTACTGCATTATTTTAGTAATTGCTTAAGTAATGTCAACCCATTCATGACTGTATTAGACTAGCTAATTCAACACGTATTGGACAGTGACGTCATTTGATTACTCTTAAACATCGGCAAAAATCAAACATTTCCACTATTTTGAGCTCAATTTCAAGGTACTTTTCATCATAAAACTAATCACAATCATCTCCATCTCTATAATATATCTTCCATTCTATCAAATGAGATCAAGAAAATGAGAATAAAACCATAAATACCATACGAAAATACACCGCAAATTCGCTGTTTTAAACCAAAACCACGGTCAGTTTTTTTTTTTTCATTGTGCACTGCGTGCTGCAGGATTTTTTTTTATATTGCGTACACTGACCACACAGACCCATTCTTTCATATGTAGGCCTACCAGCTTTCTTCCAGCAGATTTGAAGGCGCTAGAATTTTGGCATAGTACTAGGGACCGACACTGGCTCTCAAGCCATAGTACTAAGGGATCAACACTGGCTCTCAAGCTGTAGTACTACAGGACCGACACTGGCTCTCAAGCTGTAGTTCTACGGGACCGATACTGAAAGGGTTTAATATTGAAGAGCGCTAAACCAAATATTGTTTCATGGGTAATACAGCTGTCATGGAAATAATGAAATTTATTTTTAGTTACAAAAATAAATACCCAGCTTAATTCTCTATACTTGTGAAGCCTTGAATTTTGTTATGCTCTAGAAATCACTTTCTAGATATACTTAATCAGTTATGTATGAACTTGCAGCTTCATCCTGAAGTATGAAGCAGGCTATAGAAAGTACTTAATGAATAACCCTGTGCTTAGCTCCACTAAGACTTCCTCTGTGTGATGCAAATTGTTGAACGTACCAGTTTTGATGCTACTGTAGCTAACCTCACATTGCATTTTTGTAATGGACATAAGGGAAGGGTACTTCACCAGAGTCTTACTTAAGATTTAGAGAAAAAAGGTATAGGAACATTTCATTGCTTGTTGTTGAGACTGAAGGGCAAATGCACATTGCCCGAGTCGTGTGATAAGTTAATTGTAGAGATGCAGGATAGCTTACTTTGGTAGGGGAGGGCACCTTCATCAACGTTTTACATCATGGTCAATTTTATAAACATATTTTTTTAGCAAGAGTTCTAAGGGAAGTACATTTCTCTTGACTTTACATTAGTGTAAAGTTTTTGGAGCTGTCACAGATGTTGGACATAGCAGCTTAACTTCCAGATGCTGAAGTTGTGGAATCTCTTCAGGTTTTAGTCAGTCATTTCATTTCTATTCATTCACATTTTAAAATGGCTCTTGAGAGTGAAGTTCAAGCAAGTATTCTTAAGAAGATGCTGTTATGTGATGTTTAAGAGCCATTTTAGAATTTTTTCAGGTTTCCCCCGAATATAATTTATATATTCGTCACACTGGGGTCTCTCCAAATATGATATTTTAGTCATATAAGAATTTTAGTTGAATGTTCCTCTATCTTGTCAGTAATTTGTTATACATATTTTTTATATTAAACTACTCAAAGAATCATCTACCATCAAAAAAATATATAAATAAATTTTATATATATATATATATATATATATATATATATATATATATATATATATATATATAATATAATATAATATATAATATATATCAGTACCAAAGCTTTATCATTTTAATAATTTTGTTATGTATAGGAATGTAATAAGTTACTTGTGAAGAGAAAGTTTCAGTTCCATATTGGAACTGTTGGCTGTTTTGTACGAACTTACTTTTGCGTTCACAACTGAAATTTATGTAGATATCCCAATATCTTTCTTTGGCAAATGAAACACCAAGGCACAAGTCATTTACAAAATTGTTTGCTAAGCAGACAAGACATTGTAGTTACAATATAACTTTTTTACAGTTTTATCTAGAGCTCTTTGTATTGCAGGCCATGGTTTATAGCTTGTATACTGAGAGACACTGTTGTATAGTATCTTGTATGGTTGTAATTTATTTGATGTATGTATTATTGATATATAGTATCACAGATTCATGTCAACCTGTCTTGTGAATACAGCTTGATCCGCAGTAAACTACAATAACTCTTTTTTTATCCCAAAATTCTTGTTAGAAAGAAATAAAACACTTCACCTGGTATATTTAAGTTATATTCACCAAGAATTCTTTCTTACATATGCTCTTCATTAATATGTATTAAGTAAAAATGTGTGCTCAATAATATGGATACATTTCCTTCTTCCATACACTGACAAAATGTGCAAACTGTTCAAACATTCCTGCAGGGATTTTCTTTTCTTGGACTATTTTTCAGTACTCTCTTAACTCAACTGCTGGCAACAACAATGGTCCTAGTTGAACCATGGTAAAAAAAAAATTTAAGGTTTGGGCGATCTTCCTACTGCCATCATTATTTGGGAGACTACACTCTCCCATTTGCATATCAGACGCACAACTTGCTCATGGATGCCCCATGAAGAAATGACCAGCAATGCTCTGCGAGGACTGTCAGTCCGTCACTGTCCTGCAGGATTCACTTTGATGTCTACACCATCTCAACACACATTAAATGACCTCCTTGCTGAAAGTCTCGCCTTTGATGCAGGCTCTTTCTGACTTTTAAACAGAAATTAACAACATATCAACTTTTATTTATTTTACTGTCGCACCAACCCCTACCTCTTACTCACTCCAAACCTTCGTATGTTCCTCTCCATAGCATTATGACCCAGATTTAGTGTTTAAATTTATATTATTTATTATTAAAACATTATTTGACCTTTAAGCATTAAACTTTTAATCCAATCGATCCTGGTAGGAATAGCAGGAAGGAAGGGCAGGTAAAGTTAAGATTTAGAGGCTAAAACCAGGTAGAACAAATGGTTTTTACATTATGACATGAGCATGAGCACACTATAAAGGATTCACCAGAACTGACTAGCCAAAGTATTGAAAGGTGGGTGGAAATGTTTGTTAGGAGAATCATTTGTAAAGTCTGTACACTGACAAGACAGTTATTGAATAAGTGATGATGACTTTCTTTTCAGTTGCCCTACCATGTAAAGAAATGACTGTTTAAAAAAAATGGTAAACCTATTAAAGAATAAAGCAGCAATTATAACTGGTGAGAGACTATTCAGGGAAACCTTTATCCATATAAGGTATGGAAACTTGTAAGGGCTTCTTGGTTATGAGGAAATTACCACTCTTGCAGCCTAAGGAATTGGGGTTGTGCTCCATTTCTTTGAATTGAGTCTGAATGCCTTCCATTACCCTAGGTGCTGTATGACCCCTACAGGTTTAACACTCCTCCCATTAACATTATTATTTTTTCTTTTTATTAACACATTGGCCAATTCCCACCAAGGCAGGGTGGCCCCGAAAAAGAAAATCTTTCATCATCATTCACTCCATCACTGTCTTGCCAGAGGAGTGCTTTACACTACAGTTTATAAAACTGCAACATCAACACCCCTCCTTCAGAGTGCAGACACTGTACTTCTCATCTCCAGGACTCAAGTCCGGCCTGCTGGTATCCCTGAATCCCTTCATAAACGTTACTTTGCTCACACTCCAACAGCACATCAAGTATTAAAAACCATTTGTCTCCATTCACTCCTATCAAATACGCTCACGCATGCTTGCTGGAAGTCCAAGCCCCTCGCACACAAAACCTCCTTTATGTGAACGAGATTATTTGGTGATGCTGGTAGCGGGTGAGTGAATGATACGTCTTCAGAGGCTTCTTACTTTATTTGCAAAGTCGTGGTGGGTACACAGGCTTGTGTGTTGTGCCCATGGCCCAGGAGGGCCATGCCCAGCGAGGGAGAGAGGGAGTAGACGTGTTGTCTGCTTCTAGGCCGATGAGCGAGTGAGTTGGGACCAGCGTCCCACTGACCTTTGCAGGCCTAGAGGGCAGCACCTGAGTACCACGAAATATGAACTAAGCTGGCAGACAGCATAGGCTGTCTGTGCAGACAGTACAGGCTGTCTACATTTACCCCCTCCCTCCAACCTTTCCTAGGCCAACCCCTACCCTGCCTTCCTTCCATTACAGATTGATACACTCTTGAAGTCATTGTTTCATTCCATTCTTTCTACATGTCCGAACCACCTCAACAACCCTTCCTCAGCCCTCTGTACAACAGTTTTAGCAATCCCACACCTCCTCCTAACTTCTAAACTACGAATTCTCTGCATTATATTTACACCACGTATTGAACTCAGACATGACATCTCCACTGCCTCCAGCCTTCTCCTCGCTGCAACATTCATCACCCATGCTTCACACCCATATAAGAGCGTTGGTAAAACTATACTCTCATACATTCCCCTCTTTGCTGCCAGGGACAAAGTTCTTTGTCTCCACAGACTCCTAAATGCACCGCTCACCCTTTTCCCCTCGTCAATTCTATGATTCACCTCATCTTTCATAGACCCATCCGGTGACACGTCCACTCCCAAATATCTGAATACATTCACCTCCTCCATACTTTCTCCCTCCAATCTGATATCCAATCTTTCATCACCTAATCTTTTTATCCTCATAACCTTTCTCTTTCTTATATTCACTTTTTTCTTCTTTTACATACCCTACTAAATTCATCCACTAACCACTGCAGCTTCTCTTCAGAATCTCCCAAGAGCACAGTGTCATCAGCAAAAAGCAACTGACAACTCCCACTTTGTTTGATTTTTTAACTCCACACCTCTTGCCAAGACCCTAGTACAGTGGACCCCCGGTTAACGATATTTTTTCACTCCATAAGTATGTTCAGGTGCCAGTACTGACCGAATTTATTCCCATAAGGAATATTGTGAAGTAGATTAGTCCATTTCAGACCCCCAAACATACACGTACCAACGCACTTACATAAATACTCTTACATAATTGGTCGCATTCGGAGGTAATCGTTATGCGGGGGTTCACTGTATTCACTTCTCTTACAACCCCATCTATATATATATTGAACAACCACAGTGACATCACACATCCTTGTCTAAGGCCTACTTTTACTGGGAAATAACCTCCCTCTCTCCTACATACTCTAACTTGAGCCTCACTATCCTCGTAAAAAAAACTTCACTGCTTTCAGTAACCTACCTCCTATACCATACACCTGCAACATCTGCCACACTGCCCCCCTATCCACTCTGTCATACACGTTTTCCAAATCCATAAATGCCACAAAAATCTTTTTAGCCTTATCAAATACTGTTCACTTATATGTTTCACTGTAAACACTTGGTCTACACACCCCCTACCTTTCCTAAAGCATCCTTGTTCATCTGCTATCCTACTCTCCATCTTACTCTTAATTCTTTCAATAATAACTACCATACACTTTACCAGGTATACTCAACAGACTTAACCCCCCTATAATTTTTGCACTCTCTTTTGTCCCCTTTTCCTTTATACAAAGGAACTACACCTACCATCCAACTTACGACCTGCTCGACTTACGACCACTCGACTTACGACCGTGTTTTTTTTGCCAAATTTCTGGGAAATAAACAACTATTTGTGTTGTACACAGTGTTTATCCTAAACCTTACAGTATAAAATACAGTACTAACAGCATAAAAAGTAAAGTAAAACATGAAATACCAAAGTAAAACAATAAATAAAGTCATTACAAAAATATGATGTTGATATTCAGTAGTAAAGTTCGACTTACGACCTGTTTCTCGGAACCGAACTCGGTCGTAAGTCGGATGGTAGGTGTATGTACACTCTCTGCCAATCCCTAGGTACCTTACCTTCTTCCATACATTTATTAAATAGCACCAACCACTCCAAAACTATATCCCCACCTGCTTTTAACATTTTTATCTTTATCCCATCAATCCCAGCTGCCTTACTCCCTTTCATTCTACCCACTGCCTCATGAACTTCCCCCACACTCACAACTGGCTCTTCCTCACTCCTACAAGATGTTATTCCTCCTTGCCCTATACATGAACTCACAGCTTCCCTATCTTCATCAACATTTCACAATTCCTCAAAATATTCCCTCCATCTTCCCGATACCTCTAACTCTCCATTTAATAACTCTCCTCTCCTATTTTTAACTGACAAATCCATTTGTTCCCTAGACTTCCTCAACTTGCTAATGTCACTCCAAAACTTTTTCTTATTTTCAACAAAATTTGTTGATAACATCTCGCCCACTCTCATTTGTTCTCTTTTTACATTGCTTCCCCACTCTCTTAACCTCTCTTTTTTTTCTCCATATACTCTTCCCTCCTTGCATCACTTCTACTTTGTAAAAACTTCTCGTATGCTAATTTTTTCTCCCTAACTACTCTCTTCACATCATCATTCCACCAATCGCTCCATTCCCTCCCGCACCCACTTTCCTGTAACCACAAACTTCTGCTGAACACTCTAACACTACATTTTTAAACCTACCCCATATATCTTCGACCCCATTGCCTATACAGTGGTCCCTCGTTTTTCGTAGTTAATCCGTTCCTGGAGTTGCTACTATTATCGAAATCTACGATTTTCGAATCAATTTTCCCCATAAGAAATAATGTAAATACAATTAATACATTCCTGACACCCAGAAGTATTAAAATAAAAATTTTTTTACATGAAATATACATGTAGTACATAAACAATACAATGGGAAATGATGAATGAAACATTAACAGCATAACACTTACCTTTATTGGAGATTCTTCTTAGTGTATGGGAGACTGGAGGAGGAGAGAGATTGGATTGTTTACAGTTTGGAAGGGGAATCCCCTTCCAGCAACACCTCAGGTACCAATTGCTTTTCTGGGGTTGCTTCTCTTCTCCATTTCTTAATGCCACTAGGACCACCTTGAGAGTCACTGGAGTCCTGTCTCGCAAAATAACTGTGGAGAGAGCTCTGTTTCTGGCGTCTCTTTAACACTTCCCTAAAATGGCCCAAGACTTTGTCACTGTACATGTTGCCAACATGGCTTGCAACAACCTTGTCAGGGTGATGTTTCTCCATAAATCTTTCCACTTGTGCCACTTTCATATTGTTCAATGATGTTTTTCTTAAATTCAATCGTATTTCTCACCTTCTTTACCACAGGCTTGGCACTAGGA